GGTCTGTGTGCATGTACTCACACACATGTCTATAATTATTATATATTATATATTGTATATATGATTATTTATGAGTTGATGTGTGTCTCTGCTGTAGGACACAGGTAAGTGTCTGTGTAGAAATATGAATGGGATTTAAATCACATTGGAAAATTATCCAGAAGACAAACCAAACATACACATGGACTTAATAAAGAGCTGACATGCTTGTTGTCCTAAAATGACAAAATATGATTTAAAGAGATTTTTAAAAATATGCAATATACAAACTCAAGCAGAGAGAAATGTGACCAAGACAACTGGCTCTGGAAATCTTACAATGCTAATAATAATAATAATGGCTAGTAGTGTTGGCTACCTAGTGAATTCACTATGAAGTGATCATTCCAAAACAATAAGACACTGTGCAGAATAGCCATGGTCAGACTGGATAATGATGGTCAGCTCAAATGAAAATCTGGATATTATTTAATAACTGATAGGACGAACTGTCAGGACAGGGATTTTCTGACCTTTGAAAGACGTTCCAGCACTTTACATTCCTAAATCAAAAATTCTCTAAATAAAACAATTTAGCCAAAGTTATAAGGCCTCTCTTCTTTTGATGCTGAAGTGTTAAACAGATTTTCTGCTTTGCATATTTGCATTGTGTTTTCACAACAGTGGTACTGACAACTTTAAGTAAATGCATCTGTGTATCTCAAACTACAGGCCTGTCACCAGCAGTTCTGTATTGAGACCTCTCAGGTTCTGTTCTGCAGGATTCTTCATCATGAACGTTACGACTCACCCCATCACTGTCTTTTCACATTCATGCTGTCTGGAGAGAGAGTGAAAGAACAAGGACCTCTAGTTTTCAGAAAAGTCCTGAGGACCCCATACTGTGTAGAATTTCCCCTTCTGAATTAAAAAGGTTGTGTTGGTTCCTGTTGGTGTCCAATAGTCACTAATGGTATTCTGTGTTTTCCTGAGGGGCTGATATCACAGTACAAAGGACTCTAATGGTTTGTTCTGGAACTGATTCTAGATGGCTTCCTATTGGGATCTAAAGGTGTCCTACAATAACTAGGGAACTAGTGGTCTCTAATGATATCCATTAAGCCAATTCCCATTAGAAAGCAAATCCATCAGGTTTTAATCTTAATGGTTCTAAAGGTCTTGTATTAGCAGGGTCATATTTTCTCTTATCTACCACCTGATTCAACTAATTGACTGTTTAACGCTTCTCACGTGCTCGATTATGATTTAAGTAGAGAAAACACAAAGATGAGCAGATCATGTGGACCTCAGGACCAGGACTCGGACTAGGGGAACAGCTGAACATATCTCTCTCTCTCTCTCTCTCTCACACACACACACACACACACACACACACACAAAACCCTGAATTACAGCAGATCAGCATCCAAGCACATCTGCTGGGGTTTATAAACCCTTGAACAGCGTCTTACCTTCAACAGTTCAGCTCCTGTTTCTGTTCCTCCAACAGCGCTGTAGGAGCGCGAGGTCTGGACTGCAGATCTTCTCCACTTCGTTAGAGCGGGAGAAGCTCACTCAGAGAATTAGCGCCCCCTCCTGCACCGCAGGGGGCTTCACACCGAAAACACCTCATCACAGACCAATAGAGTCGAATTGCAATGAAAGGCGTTTCCGTAAAACAAGAACGCCCAGATCAGGAACGCCCACTTATCATTCATTGGCCGATATGTCTGCAAAATGGCTTCTCTCATTGGTGGATAAGACTCAATGGGGAAAATACATCAATATTTGTAAAGACGTCACTAATGCTAAATTAATAGTTTCTGCATATTCGCATAATGAGCATTTGGCCTTTAAAAACAAATCTGTGTGAATCTACAGCCCCTTGATCTTGCGGTCTGAATGCCCATCATAACGGCAGCAATCAGCAGTGTTTTCAGCAGTACTACACAATCTGCTCCACACCAGCCCTTATTTAAATTAATGTGTAGTAATGGATTTTAATATTAACGTCCCTAATGAGACCATAGAAACCATTAAGAGTTTCTGTTGGTTCTTGGTGGTTTGTAATGCGTTTTGGCTCTTCTTGATGGGCTGAAAATGTAAAGGAATGATTTAGCAGGTGACGTAGTGACTGATTCCGGATACATTTTTAATTCTACCTGGAAACTAGTGGTCTCTAATGGTAACCATTAGGAGGCAAAAACATTTTTTAATCCTAATGGCCTTTTTTACAGCAGGGGTTACCGAGGTGCTGCCAGCTTGCACAATACAACTCTGGCAACCACGTGCTTATTTTCCACAAATTTTAAGGTCTCATTAAAATGTTAATATTACAGTAAAACTTACGACATCATAATCTGTAATGAAAGCGCTTGCTCTGTGTTTTAGGGCCACTAACAAAAATAAAAACAGTAGACTTAAGAATATAGTCGTGATATTTCAAGACAAAAGTTGCATGTTTAGAATAAAATCGTAATATTTTGAGAAGAGCCATAATATTTTGATGATATATTACGATATTAATTACGTCATTAAAGTGGGATATTACCAGAAAAGGTATGCAGTACTGTGGCCAAAGGCTTTGCAAAGGGAAGCAGCACCTCCTTGTGTTAAATGAGGTGTGTTGAGTTGGTGGAGTTCTACTTTCATATCGATTCACCCATAAAGAAACACTCAGTCTCCCTGTCTCTCCTGCTCATCAGCACCAGCCTGTTATTAGTATAAGAACCGGCTAAAACGGCTGAGCAGGAAACTGTGTTTATCTAGAATAAAGAGCCAGACGGACTCAGAGGAAACTGAGTTTATCTAGAATAAAGAGCCAGACGGACTCGGAGGAAACTGTGTTTATCTAGAATAAAGACTGAGTTTATCTAGAATAAAGAGCCAGACGGACTCGGAGGAAACGGAGTTTATCTAGAATAAAGAGCCAGACGGACTCGGAGGAAACTGTGTTTATCTAGAATAAAGACTGAGTTTATCTAGAATAAAGAGCCAGACGGACTCGGAGGAAACTGAGTTTATCTAGAATAAAGAGCCAGACGGACTCGGAGGAAACTGTGTTTATCTAGAATAAAGACTGAGTTTATCTAGAATAAAGAGCCAGACGGACTCGGAGGAAACTGAGTTTATCTAGAATAAAGAGCCAGACGGACTCGGAGGAAACTGTGTTTATCTAGAATAAAGAGCCAGACGGACTCGGAGGAAACTGAGTTTATCTAGAATAAAGACTGAGTTCATCTAGAATAAAGAGCCAGACGGACTCGGAGGAAACTATGTTCTAAACTGAGTTCATCTAGAATAAAGAGCCAGACGGACTCGGAGGAAACTGTGTTCATCTAGAATAAAGAGCCAGACGGACTCGGAGGAAACTGAGTTTATCTAGAATAAAGACTGAGTTTATCTAGAATAAAGAGCCAGACGGACTCGGAGGAAACTGAGTTTATCTAGAATAAAGAGCCAGACGGACTCGGAGGAAACTATGTTCATCTAAACTGAGTTCATCTAGAATAAAGAGCCAGACGGACTCGGAGGAAACTGTGTTCATCTAGAATAAAGAGCCAGACGGACTCGGAGGAAACTGAGTTCATCTAGAATAAAGAGCCAGACGGACTCGGAGGAAACTATGTTCATCTAAACTGAGTTCATCTAGAATAAAGAGCCAGACGGACTCGGAGGAAACTGTGTTTATCTAGAATAAAGAGCCAGACGGACTCGGAGGAAACTGTGTTTATCTAGAATAAAGAGCCAGACGGACTCGGAGGAAACTGAGTTTATCTAGAATAAAGACTGAGTTTATCTAAAATAAAGAGCCAGATGGATTTGGAGGAAACTGTGTTTATCTAGAATAAAGAGCCAGACGGACTCAGAGGAAACTGTCTGTCTGTGTTGTTGAAGGAGAATCGCAGACAGGGTCGTCTACACAGCTATCGGGGGCTTCATCTTCCCCCATTCAAAGAGGGCATGAAGTTTCACAGACAGTAGCCACGTTTACATGCAGCCTGATAATCCGTTAATAATCCGACTAATAGCTCAATCGGAATAGAACACGTCCATGTAAACACCTTAATCGGAATAGACTAGTCCGATTGAGGCCATTCGGAATACAATTTCTATCCAATTGAACGAGGTGGGTAAACTTCTAAATAATCCGTTAAATAGAAGAATAATAGCCATGTAAACGCCTGAATCCAAATACATTCCAATCGGAACGTGTAAGTATGTTCTGCGCATGTGCGTCGCGTCATGGCGAAAGTTTGTACCGTTCAGCATGGCAGGAGCAGAAACTGGTCTGCAGAGGAGACGAAATTTATGCTCTGAGCTTTAAAAGACGGCGGTGGGACGGACGTCCAGCTTATGAGTCTCAGAACACGACGTCTTCCTCTCGCCACTTCCTTTATAAGCACATGTGAAGCACGTTTTCCTGAGTCTGACATCATTTTAAAGCAATTAAAACACAAGCGCGCCAACTGGAAACTCATATCACGCGGACTGGACCTCACGTGATGTTCGCTGTCATGGTAACGTTTACTCTAAACGCTACTCCACGCATGCGTGTCATTTTGCATCGGATTACTTGCAGTGAGCATGTAAACGAAGATTTTCCATCAAATCGTTGATAGAGTGTGCATATAAACACCTCAGTCTGAATCTGTAATCGGATTGTATTCAATCGGATTGGCAAAAATCTTTGCATGTAAACATAGCCAGTGAGAATGATGATTAACATGATCCACAGAGAGACAGGAGTGAGTGGAGCTCCAGGGCGCTCTTTAATCTCTAATGTTACGACTTTATTCTCAAAGTCTACTGTTTTTATTTTATTAACAGCGGCCCTGAAACGCCGTCGTAGTTCCGTTTACTCAGCAACGTTACTGTGGCTTTTACTCCAAAGCCCACCTACCCCTGGCGTCACATGAGGGGCGTCCCTGGGTGGGCGGGGGGCTTGTCTGCATCACAGAAACGCCCTCATATGGTGCTGCAATTCGACCCTCTTCATCACAGAAGCTGAGGGATCTCACTCAGCTCCACACTTCGAACGAGGCTCTCCCAGCCAATCAGATCTGACCTCGGCTTTTAGGGCAAACCAATGGCTCTGAGAAACGGCTGAAATATACCCGCCCACCAGAGGGCTAAAACAACAGAGGCGGAGGAAAAGAGACTGGAGAGAGAGTGTCACTCTGAAACCGTTATAAACGGAGAGAAGATCCACTTTGGATTCACTCGGTAAGTTCATCAATGACAGAAATGCGGAATCTCTGCTGTAGTTTAAAGCAGGAACACGTTTTTCTATGTTTCACAGATACTAAACTGTTCTTACAGCTGAACACATTAAATTTACTCTACAGCGGTTACTCAGTGACCGATCACTGAAACACGAGACAGACATCTGGTCAGAGGGCCGAGAGTGTGTTTGAGTGAAGGTCTGAATGTATAAACGCTGTAAACTGAGCGGTGAATACAGATACAGTCGTATTTAACGCCGATAGCTGTGCGTTTGAGTGAAGGTCTAAATGTATAAACGCTGCAAACTGAGTGGTGAATACAGATACAGTGAGACACCACACTAAAGCACTGTATCACTGAATCAGGGGTGTTGGCTGGGCATATACAGATCGGGCACTCAGTCCAGTTCATTGTAGAATTGTTTAAGAAGAACAGATAAATATTTTGTCTATACTTTATATATATTGTGGCATTAGAGCTCGCCTTGGTTCTATGATGCTTTGTGCATGCTTAGCTGGACTATATCCAGTTCTTAACAAGCTACGTAAGTAAAGGTTTAAGGTGGCATGTTCGGGTATGTGGGTGATGTTCGTAGGTTATGTGAACCTTTGAGTTGTCAAGTACCATGTTTTTGCTACCCTCATCCAGGTTTGTGTCCTGATATATAACCCCAGGTGATATAGATACGGCCGTGCTAGATTTTTAAAGAGCATATTTCCTCCGTCCAGAAATGAGTGATTTCTTACTCTAGTGTACTCCAGCTGCTGAGTCTGTTCTAAATATAGCTGTGTTTCCCCCTTTATAAGTGATTGTGCATTGCAAAGAAATGCGCAACACTATTGTTATCTGACAGAACAATGCGAGCGTTACAATGGAAGTTTTCTGGTCAGTCGTTGTGTGTTTGTCGCAGCAGCTGTAAAAATAGGCATTTTAACTTTAACGTTTCATAGTTGTAGTTATGGATTCATGGAAAACTGGCATCATTTGTGCAGTTAGGGTGCCATAATAACGGGCACAAACGAAAGGTTTTCATAGAGCAGGGATGCTTTGACCATAAACTTCACACCAGAGCTGAATGTGAACGTGAGGCACCCTACGATCTCCATCTGTCTCCTAAAGGAAGCCTTTCAGCTTTGGTTTAAAGCTTTGACTTTAAAGAAACCACTCGAGCAGCCATAGGTGTGTTGACAGAAGACCTACTCAAGATCATCCATATCCAGAGAGGTGGTTGGGCTACAGTGCTTCAGTAAAAAAGCTCAGACAACTTCTCGTCAGGAGGGATCAACACATAAAGGTAAGCTAACTGCTAACGTACTGACATTTGCTAGCGAGCTAGCGGTTAGAGTTTGTTTAGCTGATGTAACCTTTGGACTGGCTAGCTAGCCAGGTGCTAGGATAAGCTAACATTAGCTGATGGGCATCTGCTGATAACATTAGCTAGCATAATCGTTTACCTAGCTATACTCATAATTTAGAATCAGCAGTTAACAAAGTACATATGTTTTGTACTTAAGTAAAAGTAATTTGCAGGTTTTCTATTTATATTTACACACAATTTAAAGAATAGAAGGATTGATTGTGAACATATGTATTAAAAATAAAAGTACTACGGCTCATTTCAGTTATTATTTGATGAACAGTTTCTTTTGAGATTGTGTGCAATCATATCTGCAGCTACATATGCCTCCTTAACAGAAAATGAAACAAATAACTGCATCAACATAATAATGATAACTGCAATAACTCACAGTGCACTCTCAGAAATAAAGGTACTAAACTGTCACTCTCTTCTCTCTTCTCACTGTTGTGGGACCCTCAATGGTCCATCTCAGTACCTTTAGTCAGGGAACATAACTGAACCATAATCCACTGAAATGATATGTTCTAAGCTGTACTGACTCCACACACCCCGTCTCGTCTCCAGGCTTTTATTTTACTGTTCTGTTTTAAAACATTCGGTTATGAAAAGGTACAAATACGAACTTTTCACCTGGAAAAACTTATTTAAGGTTCACAATCAGACCTTAAAACCACTGCTGTACCTTTGAGGAAACATTTACATTGTTTGTACCTTAAAAACAAAAAATATACCTGACCAGAACCTTTATTTCTCATAGTGTACTTTTGATACTTAAGTACTTAAACAGAAGTAGACTACGAGCGTTTCTACCTTCACTTAAGTACTAGATTTTTGTACTTTGTCAACCACTAATGGCTTTCCAAGAGCAACTTGAATGAAGTACAAAAGTACAGTAACAAATAACAGGCTTTATAATACATCCAGCATGTATTGGAGGAACTGAAGTTTGTTAGCCACTATTCTTATTAAAGTGTACTGTGTGTCTAAAATAATATGGTGAAAAGTCTGACCAACATAATATAGTTAATAATTAAACACAAAAAAGAAATTAATACTACCTTCTATGCCAGCTTCCCATGATTTTCAACAGCCCATGCTTTCAATTGACAGTAGCAGCAGAATATGTGTTGTCAGGTGTTTTACTCCAACACACCCTTTTGATGCACACTTTGTTTTTTTGTTTTAAATCTGGAGTCTGGGTGTGTGTCTCTGAACTTTTTATGCTTTGTGTTGTTTGGCAGATGACGAACAAGTGGATTCAGAGATCAATCATATGTGCCATCGCTGGCGTTAACAACCCAAAGAGATGACTGCACACCATGGCAAGTTCAGGCTTTGACTGATCATGAGTATGCTTCAGGAGAAACAGAGAAGTGACAATGGAACACAGTGTGTTGAGGAACCCTTAACCCTGACCATCTAGAATGACATTAGCTTCCTCTCATTGGGCCTTATTCACCAACCATTCTTAAGAAGAAATTTCTTTAAACCGACATACACAGTTTTCACGACATTCTGACATTCACCAATGTTTTGTTCTCAGCTCAGAACAAAAATACACTCAGGAGCACAAAGGTGCAAACAATTCTGTGGTTTAAGAACACATCTTGAATCTGATGAAGATTGTTCTTAGGACCTTTCTCAAGAACAAATTTAAGAGAAAACTAGAAGACGATTGGTGAATGAGGTCCAGTGTCTTCTTTGACCATGTTAAGTACCTGCAACAGTTCTATTTAGCCAGTTTCAAGATGCACACAGTGGATCAAACATTGATGACCATGATGAAGCTAATGCTAAATTTACTGCAAAGTGATCTTGCTGAAGTCTTTGCTGTATCCCAGGGGTGTAGTGAGCTGAATCCTCCTACTGGAATGACACAATGGAGGAGGAGCACATGAGAATTTACATTCGTAGGTTGCCAAAGGAGACAATCAGCACAATGTCAAAGCCTCAGTGCTTGAAGAGAACTTCCCCAGCATCGACTGCTCTGAGACCACTCTGCAGAAAGCACATAAACTTCACACCAGCAGGGGGTCATATAATCACTATTACTCTGGTAATACTTAAGTATTTGGTTGCCATAGACCCTGTGTACTTATGTTCATCTCTCCTGCTTATGGCGGCAGATGTATCGACAAGTTTATCGCCCCAGACTCTGTTTTTTGGAGTATCTTTGTACTGGTGATGAGGTAATGGCAGACAGAGGTTTTACCGTCAGAGATCTGCTTTTCAAGAGAATGTAAATCTCGTCATCCCAGCATTTACCTGTGAACAGGACAGAACAGTTGTCTGATGAGGATGTAACAGGCACAAGAAGGATTGCTAAACATTTCACATGGTCTCTCAGACTGTTCGCATCAACATGGACATCAAAAAATAGTTCAAATTCTCAGAATCTGTCCAGCACTTGTGAACATGCAGGGTGACATCATCCATGAGAATGCAGAGTAAGAATTCTGAAGGTTGCATTCTGCAGCACAGTGTTTCCCATTTAACATGAAGCTCTGTAAATATTTATGTAAAAGTTATTGTTAAATGGATTGCTGTTGGAGCCAACAATGTTCTGATGGGGGTTCAGTGTTTGTTTAATTACATAATTATTTTTCACACACAAAATTGTTTACCTTTATCCTAAATCAAAATTCCAGTAGATTAAGACAAACATCCAATTATTAAAAGTTGTTTAATTGAAAAATTCTGTTGTGCACTTGCAAACATTTCAATAAAATCAGATTACCATGCACAGGTTGTCTGTTGTTTAGCATTATTCAGTCTGATAATGAGGTAATATATATTTGAAAATGTTTCACATGGATGTGTGAACGGTAGTGAACTACCTTATTTAAACTGATAAGATAAATAATAACTTATTTACACAGAAAATTAATAAAGCATTAAAATCAGTATTCCAACATGCATGATAAAGAACACATTTCATTGTAATAATTGGACACATTGTTCAGATGAATGAAAAATTCATTAACACACTATCTGGGCTTGCAGAAAGTCATGGCTCTGTGACACTAACTACTGTTCTTCTCCTCTCAACAATAAACCCACAGCTCTCTATCCCTACACCAGCCGATTCCTCATTCTTCAGGCCATATCTAGTAGCAGAGCTGGACCTAGGAAAGAGGTGCTCTCGGAGAAAACTGTCTAGCTTGGCTTATTGGATGCAGGCACAGGGACCTTTTTTGTAGAACTAGCAGTTAGTCTCAATTTCCGAGCTTCATACCAGAAAGAAGGTCACTCTTAGTGACCTCTTCTAACCTGGTGCATTTAAGCTCATCTAGTTACATGTATGCATTGTAAAATGACATGCAGCTGAATGGTGGCTACTGGCACTTGTTCTTTTTCAGCTGAAATGCATTTGTGCAGGAGGCTGCACAAACACAGGGAACAGAGTGACACAGCACCTTAAACTAATCCCATGGAAATATATTAGTTATTTGATGTTGTATGTATGTATGTATGTATATATGTATGTGTATGTACATATATCGCATATCTCTGTTGCTTTGGCAACAATTGTTCATTACAATTCATGCCAATAAAGTTATTTGAACTGAATTTAATTGAATTGAGAGAGAGAGAAATAGAGAGAAATTGGTGATGCAGTGTGAGAGAAAGGCAGAGGGGA